TATATATAAATATTACATAATAACTATTAATTTATATATTCAAGAACAGAGCCTTTCTTCCGAAACATTTTTCTCGCGAAATTCTCCGCACGAAATAAATTGCACACGCTAGAACACATTAAAAAACATAAGCGTCTCGATAACTTGCACAAATCGCACCGTACGATTATCAGTTTATTTCTGTTTTCTTTTCATTTAGAAAGATTAGTATACTATAGGCAATGTCTATAAAATTCTATCGAGAAAATGCAATTCGTTGAAATGAAAAGAAAAGAAAACAAGAAGCTCGCGTCATCTATATCTTTTCAATCTAAGCTCGTAACGAAAAAACTTGAACGATCTTTTATATTATTTACCGTATACACAATTATCTGAACCGCGTTTCAGGAACGATAATGTCGCGCGAGCGGAAAGAGGCAGCCTAATCGGCCGGCAAAGTCGAAGAAAGGCCGGACGCGGTTGGAATCGCGCTCATTACCGACACGCGAACCTAAACGTAGCGGATCGATCCACGGCCCACACCTGAGTGAGACGCACTTAATTGCATTCGTGCACAATGCCTTACGGCCGACAATGTGCCCCGCGCACGTGTACATCCGCGGCGGTGTCACCGGCGGCGCACTAATTTCGTTCCCGGGGAAACGCATTGTGCGCCGCCTTGTCCGCCGTACGTTTAGGATAAAATACGCGACAAAAGAATCGCCCGGGGGCTGCCGGATATCGAACCGCGTTTCGTTGACGTTTACAACCAGTGTTCCACGGTAGTCATGCATTCTGACGAAACTGTACCCCACTTTTAACTTCTTTCCCGTGTTTTGTTTTTGTTCGTTTTGTTTTCGCTTTTGTTGGGCTTGTTGTTGTTGTATTGATTTCACGAAAAATCTATCGGATCGTGATACTTTTCACGGAATCCGATTGCAAACCTGCGCGACGTGTGTCGAAATAATAATGCATACCGACAATTCGAGAAACTTTTAAACTTTGACAGTTTGTCACTCTGTTCTGAATTTACTCTCAGTTATCTTTGTAATTCTTATTATTCTTCTTAATATATCTCTATATAATAATATTATAATATTATGTATTATAATAATATTCTTCTTATTCTACTCTTATTATTAGTATCTTTGTAATTCTTATTATTCTTCTTAATATTTCTATATAATAATATTATATAATATTATGTATTATAATAATATTCTTCTTCTTCTATTCTTATTATTAGTATCTTTGTAATTCTTATTATTCTTCTTAATATTTCTATATAATAATATTATATAATATTATGTATTATATATGATAATATTCTTCTTATTCTATTCTTATTATTAGTATTTTTGTAATTCTTATTATTCTTCTTAATACCTCTATATAATAATATTATAATATTATGTATTATAATAATATTCTTCTTCTTCTATTCTTATTATTAGTATCTTTGTAATTCTTATTATTCTTCTTAATATTTCTATATAATAATATTATATAATATTATGTATTATAATAATATTCTTCTTCTTCTATTCTTATTATTAGTATCTTTGTAATTCTTATTATTCTTCTTAATATTTCTATATAATAATATTATATAATATTATGTNGGAAGAATATTTTATGTTTATTTTATTATTATTTTGTTGTTATTGTTATTATTATATTTGCGCTGAGTTTTCGTAGAGAAATTGAAAGGGCATTTGGCCCGTCGACGCTAAATTAATTAAATAAACAATCTAACAAAGACTTGACGTCTTCGCACACATCGAATGAAATATAAATATTGACATATTCAATAGTTAAAATAAACTGATGATCTCTATTTCACATGTACACGTGTAATTAATGTAATTAATTTACGTGTTTTGATCCGTGCCATTTTTAACA